ACCAAACTGACAAAAGACCATGCAGAATAATGTAGTATTTTAATTCCACAGTAGAGAAAGATATGTAGTATCTGTTAGTAGTTATAGGGGGAAAATATCGGTATTGGTATCGGTTATCGGCCAAATAAGTTTGAACATATCGGCATATCTGATATCAGCCAAAAATCCAATATTGTGCATCCCTAATTTATATATCAAATCATGGATATTTTTGTTAATAATTGGATTTATAGTTTTCAACTTATATTTGCAACTTACACCTTTTCTACTCTGCGTTTTTGTGTCCTGGTAGGAATACTGTAAGGGAGTGAGAGACACAGGCAGCCATTTTTAACACTTCTTACATCTGTATGCTTCTTTTACAGTGCATACATCCATAAGTCTGCATTTTGTCTTCTTAGGCCGTTTACACAAAAACAATTTCTGGTGAAAATGGAAGAGTTTCATTGTGTTTGTTCTGTTCATTTACACGAAAATAGCTTCTTTTTTTTTTCTTTTTTTTCTGACAACAGCACCATTTGAGAATGGGTTCCAGAGTGCAATGGTTCAAAAACGTCCCATTGTTCGTTGTCGTGTAGACAGAAAAAAATAGATAATTTCTGTCAGGGAATCCCTGGCTCATGCGCAGTATGACGCAAAACAAAACGGCTTCCTACAATCCACAGAAGAAGAAACTATCGACAATGGCGGATACTAGAGTATCGTTTGTGCTTCTGACTCTTATAAATCTATAAGTCTAATTTCCCCGGACTGCTTTCAGTTTGGACATCACCTGGGCTTTTGTTATGGCGGTTTTCCTGTGAGAGAAACGTTAGAATGTTTAAAACTTTTAGTTTTTTTTTTTGTTTGTTTTTTTCTTGTGCACTTAGCGTTTGTAGTTTCAAAGAACATAGCACCAACTAGTGGCGTGGTGAGGGAATTACACCTTTTCCACATCTACTGTTGCAGTGTGTACAGAGATTGTAATTAGAACGTTTTCATGTAAATGTATTAATAGAAAGGGGGGGTCAGTTTTCAATGGATCATTGTTATGTAAACAGGGATTTAGATTATTACAAAATCATCAAATTACTGTTAGGATTTATAAAAGAAAGTTTGTGCCCGTTGGATTTTCAGGAAGTACCTGCATGAATCCTTGTTTTATGTATTTGATGTTTTTGTCTATTTTATATTTTTCACAAAGCACCTAATTACTTTTTGACACGCAGTTACTTCAAACATAGTCACACTTAAATAACACTACTCCATTTTTGAACAACTTTTCTTTGTTTTGCTCTCACATGGAGAGAAATGCGATGTGAGAGCCAATTCTCTTTGACCTTATTGAACTTATACACTAGAAAGCAGAAGTGTTTAAGGACAGTCCTTTTAATTTGTCATCACCATCATCTCTTTTAAACATTTTGCAGTTGTGTGCGTCTCAGTGAAAACGTTGGGTTTCATCAAAAAGACAAATCTCATGTACACCTGAAGAGAAATCTACGCCATCTGAAAAGTAGCCAAATCCCTTCCCTCCTTCGCCAAGCGCAGATCCCCGCCTCGAACTAAACGTTTCAATCAAAGGGTTTTTATCCTCCTGTGGCAGATTGCCTTTGTTTTCCGTCGGATTTGCCCCCAGTTAAGCTTTGATTGCACTGTGCGAGTAATGGTGTGTTGCAACAGATTATCACTTTCAGCTTTGTTGTAACTTTCATCAGGGAGTGTGTTTTTGACTCCTCTTGGTTGTTTGTTACCGGTGGACGTCGGATGTGTTCGTTTTGCCTCCCCGTGTTCTCCTCTTCTTCTTTTTCCCACTCACGGTAAAGACAAATCGAGACAATTCGATGCACCTTATGGTTTTAGTCCACATCTTTAAATCTTGCCACTCTCACACTGGTTATCCCAGTCACACTTGTTTTTTTTTCCCTCACTTCATGTGAGATGATGAAATAGTTGGAGAAGTCGGGAAATCGGTTTCTGGTGAAACCATTTTGGACTCGGAGATAACTGAGCCCTTGTGGGGGGGGGGGGGGGGGGGGGGGAAAGCCCCCCGGCTTTAGAGTGGAGTTTCCTGAGCGACGGTGTTCGTGTCGCTGAGAGTGTGTTGAGCTCTGAATGGGAATTTTACAAAGCTCGTTAAATTCAGAAAGAACTTTCTTTTTGTTTTAACTTCTTTGCTGAAGTTCCACCTGAAGTCAGATGTTTACATACACTGTTTTCCAGTAGAACCGTAACTTTTTCCTGACTAAATCTTTCTTGTTGAGGTCAGTTTGGACTCCACATAATGAAGAAAATAAACTTTTTTTTTTAACTCTATTCAAGGTCACATGTTTACATACCAGTATCTAGGTTACTTGCCTTGGGAGGGTGCTCGTCTCTTCGGGGTTTTGTTGACAGAGGGGTAGCAGAGCGCTACGTTTGGATTGTGCACTTTTTGTGGTTTTGAAGTCTGAGCTGCTACAATCTTCGCTCCCCGTCCAGAAGTGGTTGAGCTGTGTGGAGGATTTGTTAGGCGGGGCGCCCTCCTTCAATAATGGTAGGAGAAACATTGCATACATTTTCATAGTATTTGTATTTCTTGGATGAACTTGCCTGTTTGTTTTGGCAAAAGTGTTTTACGCCCAATGCCCTTCCTGACCTGACCTTCACCATTTACCTGGGTTTGGGACTGGTACCAGTGATACAATGGCTTGTGCTCCCTACTGACTGACAGAACTGGTCGGGTTCTGTCCACAAGTTTTGTATGAAACGGATCAGAATTTTGTGATGGCCACTCCCAAACACTGACTTTGTTGTCTTTCGGTCACTTGGTCACTAATGTAGCAGCATGCTGGGAGTGGTCCATCTGAAGACCCATTTGTGTCCAAGCTTTAACGTCCTGGCTAATGTATTGAGATGGTGCTTGAATATTTCCACATAATGTTATTCCTTCGTGAATTTGTGATGTGCATTGCAGTCTCTCCTGCAGCCAAACACCCCCCACAACATGATGCAGCCACCGCCGTACTTCACAGCCGGGATGGTGCAAGCTTCTTCCTTTTTTCCTCCAGATGTAACGGTGGTCATTCTGGCCAAACATGTTCATCGTTCATCTTAGTTTCATCAGACCGCAGAACATGTCTCTAAAATCTAGTGTTTATCCTGGTAGATATAGGGCTGGGTGATATATCAGATATTCTCCATGTATCATGAGTTTTTTTCAATTTACGATGGTTAAATAGTTCTATCACAACCGTTGAGTTTTATTAGACTTGAAAATCTGTGTAGTTCTTTTTCTGCTGTCTGTGCCTCTAACTTCACGCAGCCCCTCCTTCTCCCTCGCTGAATACAAACACTGCCCCTCGCATGCGCGTGCTCCCCCCGCTTCCTGCTTCTCCAGGTGGGCGGTAGCTTGGCACAAGTAAACACAGGACAGGATATCGAAGAGTAGCTTAACTGCTGAGCAAAAAGAAAATGATGGCTGTTATTTGGAGATGGTTTGGATTAAAACTGTCAGATGAACAGCAGGAAAATGTTTTCTGTAGATAATACCGAAAACAAGTCCTGACAAAAGGTCGGCACTACGACTCTTTTTCACCATTTAAAACGGCGCTAAGTGGAATATGAAGCGTGAAGCTGCAGCTCCAACTGACTTCAGCCTCCTTCCCTGAAACAAACCACATGTCAGAACTCATTTAGCCGTGCTGTGCCTTATTAGAGGAACAGTGAGAAGCAGCGCAACATTAATACATCTGCAGCTTATCGTATCGCTAAAGACACGGTCCCAGTCTCAACTGTGGAACAAGACGGCTAAAGTTAGCCATCTTGTTAGCTACTGAGAACCCTGACTTTAGCGATATAAGCCACTGCTTTATATGTGGCTAGAGATGCACTGATCCACTTTTTTACTTCTGATCCGATACACTCTGCTTTGTTATCGCCCGATCCGATACCGATACACACTGCTTTTGGTATCGGCCGATATCGATCTGATACAGAAAAACCGTGCTGAATTAACAAAAATGGCTAAATCTTGTAATTTGGACCTGTTTCTCACTCAGAGCACAAAGCATAGAATTAGAGTGAATAGATCTGCCCAGTCATGGATCGGTCACATCGTCACTGATATCCTATCTGGAAGTTTTTCCGATATCGTACAGATACCAATATTGGTATCGGATCGGCGCATCTCTATATGTGGCACTATTTCTCACTGTAAGACTTTAAAATCCATTCACAATAGTTCTTTTTCTGCCCGTCTGCGCCGCCAACTCCACGTGGCCCCTCCTTCTCCCTCACTGCTGCTTCACACACGCTTACTAACGTCATGAAGGCGGCGCAGCTGAAGAGGAATATTATTTAATATTTGTAAATAGTTCATTTTTATACATTTAGCAGAGTTACAGCTGTTTGTTAATAAGTGTGCCTGTGTGACAACTGGGACAAAGCTTTGACTCAGAAATATATTTTTGCTATTATTTTATGGAAAGAAAACATTTATCGAGATATATGTCGTATATCGCGATTTATCTTAAAAATATCGAGATATTAATTTTGGCCCATATCGCCCAGCCCTAGGTAGATATTTTTTTTTATTTTTCCACGATGCTCCACAATGAAGCATGTGTGCCTCCAGTTACCTCAAATGCTGATGTGAAGCAGGAAAGGTTTAGTTTGAGTTAATGTGTGTGAAAAATAACAAAGTACTAGTGTGTGCAAACATCTGGTTTCATCTGGATGTTTCGTGTAAAAACGTGAGCTGATTTATGCACTTGTAGGTGTGTTTTCTTAATCATTTGCCTTTATTACATATAGAACATGAAATATTTGTATTATCTTTGGTTGTTTTCTTGCTTCTTTCACTGCAGCAGCTATTACAAAAATATGTTCATGTATAAAAATAGTGATTTTTTTTTTTTAAATCTTGTTTTAAACTTCTCTACCTTTTCCTTGTTTTTCTCTTTCCCACGTTGCGTCGCTCTCCTCACCTGGTTTCTGTCTCTTCCTGCACCTGCAGGGCTGCTCGTCCCCCATCGTGGTGAAGTTCGCCGACACGCAGAAGGACAAGGAGCAGCGGCGTCTGCAGCAGCAGCTGGCGCAGCAGATGCAGCAGCTCAACAGTGCGACCACCTGGGGGAGCCTGACGGGCCTGGGGGGCCTCACTCCACAGTATCTGGCAGTAAGACCACCTCCACTATCAGCTTCTTTTCTATTCTGTAGTGCATCTCGGAAGAAAACAAATCGAACCGCGTCGGGAAGAAAAGTTGTCACGATGAGCAGAACAGTAAAGAATGATGAGGATCATCTCTCCGTCCAGTTCTGATCATTACGTTCAGCATCTTTTAAACGCTTCGGTTTGCTCAGACGGATCGTTGAGAGGGTCTGCTGAACCTAACTGTTAAGAGGGTGTTCATTCCTTCAAGTGTGTTCATGCAGAAATGAATCTACGGATTAAGAAAACAGGTTTTACATATGAGTAAAGCAGAAAATGAAAGAAGTGCTGAAACCGACTGAACACGGGAGTTCTCAAACAAAACATGGCCGAAAATTTTAAAATAAATAAACCAGGTTCAAGTTGGATGAAGGAGAAACAAAAAGAGCCAAATCAGCATGTGAACACATAAAATATACAGATCATTTAACACAAGTTTTTGATATTGTATCATGTATATTTATGTGTGTGTGTGTTATTGTAAAAAAATAAAGTCAATCTGTGACACAAAATATTTTAATTTTAGTTTTGTGAGGTTAAAAAATGACACAGAAAGTAAATCCTAGTTTTGTTAATCTCCTGCCTTTTACAGCGACTGACACATCTTTCTCTCCACAAAACTTGTATGGGATGTTGTTTATTTGTCATATGCAGGTCAACACAAGGTCAACAATGCAATGAAATGTTCAGGATGAGAAGAGCCCATTGGACTCGCTAAAAACAAACAAACAAACAAAACAGAAAATACTAAAGCATGCAATAACAGTATAAAATAAAGTACCAAAAAGTGAAAAAGAAATATACCGTATTTTCCGCCGCACATAAGTCGCATTAGTCCAAATATGTCTAATAAAGTGGAAAAATACATAAATATGTTGCATCTATTATGCGTCACTTTTGACAACCTGGAAATGTGGGCCGGTGTTGTGCCAAAAATAGATCGGCTGCCAAATGGCGACTGCGGGAGCATGCACGGGGGGCCTTTAACAATAATTTAACAAGATTAACACTTAAAAACAATTGTTTGTTTGCTCGAAATTATAGTGAAGGTGTGTTTCAGTCTAACTTTTACTTAATAAACGCACTTTGACGTCAAATCAGCTGCATTTCAAAACAAGCCGATACGCGGAAACATGAATGCGCAGAGGGCGACTTGCTGTGCATTTCTTTGAAATTTAACAAGATAACCACCTAAAAACAATTGTTTGTTTGCTCAACTTTATCGTAAAGGTGTGTCTCAGTTGAACTTTTACTTAATAAATGCACTTTAATGGTCAAATAAGCTGCATTTCGCCGGGGCGGTGCAGCGAAATGAAGCTGATTTGATGATTGCGCCAAGCAGCGAGCAGAACGAAGGTGGCATTTATGGCAAGCCGATTGTGTCATTAATAGCCTTTTTTTTTTTTACCTATTACATGATACAATGGCATGCCATACTCCTCTGCCATCTAGTGGCTGAAAATGGTAGTGTTCAATATTTTCAGTCGGAATGAATGTAAACTGTCATATCTCAGCCAAAAATTGGTTTATAAATATGGATTAAAAAAAACATAAATATGTCGTTACTGCGTATAGGTTGCAGGGCATGCAAATTATGCAAAAAACTGTGACTTATAGGTCGAAAAATACGGTAACATTTACACGGTCCTAAAGAAAAATAGTGGCCAGCAACATGGTAGAATATAACGGTGTAAGTAGGATGAAAAAGTATTGCACACGCAGTGAGTAACATTGAGATTAATTGATTTATTATTAATAATTATTGATATTTAGATTAAATCTTTACATTTGCACATATATTTTTAATCTGGACATGCAGGACAAGTGATACTTAAGAAACGTTTTTGAGGAGTTTTGCCAAATCCTTAAAAGAAATGGCTTTACATTTTTGGGAGTGATATTTTGAGCTGAAGCTTTACTGAAATTTTGATTGGAACAGTTATTTTATTGTGGAAGTCCCTTTTGTTATTATTAATATTTTGTTTTTTTCTTTTTAAATATTCAAATGATTTGCATTTGTAGGCTCCAAACTTCCACAGCTTCTATATGATCACCAGAAACTTCCTCCTGCGTGAAAACCTGCAGCTCGATTTGCCTCAGCGAGAGTAAATCTTAGTCTTGTTGGATATTAAGTTATTAGAAAATTAGAGAAAAGCAAATGTTTTTTTTACTAATTACTTATTTAATTAACTTGTCTCGACGCTTCATCACAGCTGCGTGCAAAACTTTAGGTGTATTCCAGAGAATGAAGGGAGCAAGTTTCCAATACAAACAAGATGTTAATTTGCTGTTAATTTGAGTCGATGCGGGACGAGTTCTTGACAGCATCAGTATTCCTGTTTTGTTGTGGAATGTAATTAGTGGGCTAGATTAGGGCTTTCATGCACAAGTTGTCTGGGAGAATCATGGAGGAATACAAACGGCGCTCGCTTAGAGGAGAGATCAAACTATATTAGCAGCTCATTTACTCATCGAGCGCCGATGCAGAAAGCTGCTGCGAGTCGAGTTCCTCTGCGATGTAGAGGCATCTGCTGAACTTCCAGGATCCACCCAGCTCATGTTGTTTTCTCCATCCCCCTCCCCCCCTTTCCTCTTTCTGTCCCGGTTTAGCTGCTTCAGCAGGCGGCCTCCTCCGGTAACCTGGGCGCCTTCAGCGGGATCCAGCAGATGGCCGGTGAGTCCACAGCTCAGCCCTCCGGCTGCTCGAAGCTCAATGTGCCGCGGCTCCGGCCTGTTGGCTGCACCTCTCTGTGCTCCTGTTTCTCCCACAGACTTCTAAAAGGCGACCAAAGAGCATAACAGATGAACTCGCGTGGTGGAGTAAAGAAAGCCCGTTGCCCTGAAGATTTATTAACTGTTGCTAAGATTTGTCTTGATCTTTTAATGAGGCCAGAGAAGAGTTGTGCCCAGGGCGTGTAGCGGGAGCAGCGAGGCTTTGTCAGGGATGGATGATTCACAAGAAAGGAGGAAAGAGAAAGAAATAAGGGAGTATTGGGTTGGGGGGGGGGGGGTAGCTACAAAGCAGTGTGTTGCTCTGAAGTGTAGCACCATCTACTGTCGACTTCCTGAAGGGGATCTGTGACTTCCTGTTTGATTCAACTGAGTGAAAGACGAGAAGGATCATATTTTAAACCAGACGTTCCAGGGTTCGCTCGTCTCGTCTTTCCTTTTTAACCTTCTTCTTACAGATTTCTTTTCTCGCGCTCCGCCCTCTTCTGTCACCGTTTCTCCATCCCACCCTCCTTCGCTCCTCATCATCTGCTCTCCTCTGCATTTCTCCCCTTTTTTTTTTTTTTTGGTCGTTTTCGCACAAGAATAACCAAATCCAGAATCCACTTTCTCTCCGATGGCGCTTTACATTTTCAGCGTTTCTCTCGGGCTCTCGCTGACAAACAGAATCTGGGGTTTGGAACCGAAGGGCGTCTGAATCTGTTGGTCCTCCATCTGCACTGGTGGGGGGAGCAGTGAGCGAGCGTTGGTGATTGGCAGGAGAGGAGAGACAGCTGAATGACATCTGGTCCTCGTCTTTAACACGAGGAGCTGCAGAGCTTCAATTACACCGATGAGCATTCAATTAGACGCCGCCGACGGCAGGCTGCCACATATGACCCACCACACGTACCATCTGCACAACCAAGACCCTCCAACCAGTTCTCCTCACCACCTCCTGCACTTCACTCCTCTCTGGTTTCTTTCTCCTCCTGCTCCTGTTCTCTGAGCTGCTGAGAATGTGAGCCCGATGAGGGAGATCACTTCTGACACACGCAAGTAAGAAGTGAGGAGCTGCTCTGGAAGAAGGAGAGGTGGGGAAGGTCGTCTGCAAAGAGAGGGATGGAGGGATGGAGGGGGGGTCATCAACAGAGGCAAAGAAAAGGAAAATAAATGGGAATATAGATAGATAGGAAACTGAGGAAGGAGGGAGGGAGGAAAAGATAGAAAGAAAGAGGAAGGAAGGAAAAGATGGATAGGAAGAGAAACAAAGGAAGGAAGGAAAAAGAAAGAAAGAGGAAGGAAAAAGAAGGATAGATAGAGGAAGGGAAGAAAATATAGCAAGAAAGAGAACCAAAGGAAGGAAGGAAGGAAAAATGGAAAGAAAAAGGAAAGAAGGAAGGAAGGAAAAAGAAAGAAACGAAGAAAGGAAGAAAAAATATAGAAAGAAAGAGGAAGGAAGGAAGGAAGGAAGGAAAAAGAAGGATATAAAGAGGAAGGAAGGAAAATATAGAAAGAAAGAGGAAAGAAGGAAAAGATAGCAAGCGAAACAAAGGAAGGAAGGAAAAAGAAAGATAGAAAGTAAGAGGAAGGAAAAAAATGAAGGAGAAAGAGGAAGGAATGAAAATATAGAAAGAGTGAAACAAAGGAAGGAAGGAAAAATAGAAAGAAAGAGGAAAGAAGGAAGGAAAAAGAAAGATAAAAATACAGATGAAGGAAGGAAAGAAGAGAAACAAAAGATGGGATAAAAAAGAGGGAAGGAAGAAAGAAAGGGAAGAAAAATGATAAAAAGAAAGAGGAAGGAAGTAAAATAAAAGGAAAGGAAGTCTGGGCAGGACCGGGACTCGAGTCAGTCTCTTGAAGATGAGTGAGAAGCGACAGAACGTAGACACCAGCGTGTCACGGAGGAGACGACAGAAGTCAAACTCCAGCAGCGTGGCCTCCATGTTTTACAGACGCTTCACTCACAGACACATCAGCTCTGTTGTTTCCAAAACTACACTGAAATCACGTAAACTCTTTAAAGGTGTAACAAACAGGTGCAAGCGTCCTTCAGGACTGAAGCGTCTCGTTGTCTCGCTCGCTCGCTGCTTTGTCCGCCCCACAAACACCAAATCAAAGCCCCGCCTGAATTAGCTGCAGCTCCTAGCATGTGCTGGCACAGTTTGACAGAAAGAGTGACGGCTGTTTTGATTCCTGCCTGGCGCCAGAATAGAAATCCATTTTCAGCTTTTTGATGTACGACAGAAAATTGGTGAAAATGGCCCTGACAGCTCGATTGGTTCTGGCGGCGGCGCTCCTAAGCAGCGCAGACGGATACAGAAGTCACACGTGTTGTTGTTCCATCCCTGAAACTCTTCGGCAGCGCTCGCGCACGCCTGGAGCCACTCCACCGAACAGGATCAGATGTTTAAAAGCTGGCAGCCTCCTTCTTCTTCTCCTGTTTTATACATTTAATTAACCAATCAGAGCTGTGAATCCAAGTGAAGACTCCAGCCATCTGTTGTCATCGTTCACTCCGGTTGTCTGAGTGAAGGATATCTGCGTCTAACAAGACAGATCTTCTTCACCGTGTCATGTCTGTTCTGTCTTTCTCTGTGTGTATTTTCATGTATATACACCCACACTGTATATACGACACCTCACATGTGCCACCCTTTCAGCTTTAACAAGCTCGCGAGCGAGGCGGACGAAGCCTCACTTCGGAAAGTTCTGCTCACGTTCTTAAATTCTGTCTTGGGATTTTTCACGTATTTCTCGGGACGTGCCACACACACGTCCGCAGCAGGAAGGGGAGCGGTCGGGGTTGTGCTCACAGGCAGTGTTTTATAGCCTCTGCTTCTCTGACGTTTAGGTGTTGGCGTGCAGTCGTTAATTATTCTTAAGCACAGGCCCCATATGCTAATGTCAGCGAGAAGATGAAGAGCGAGCAGCTTTGAGCCTGCAGGACTCTTTAAATGCAGTGAAGAGTTTTAATCATTTCACATCATAGACTGGAGCCTGATTTATAAAGAGCGGACGGAAAATATTCATGTTTTTCAACAATAAATCGCTTTGCCCTAAATTAGCCCCAAACAGAAGAATTAGCACCACCTAGTGACAAAGTTGCAGATTACAAAAAAGTATTCTGTGAATGTGGTAACTCTTTTCATATTTAAAAACTTAATTTAAGGAGAATTATTTAAAAATATAAATACTTATTGGGAATCTAGTAGCTTTGATGGGAAAAAAAAAAAAAAGTATATTTATTAGGGCTGGACGATATGGCCAAAACTTTCATCACGATATATTTCTTAATTTTGGTCGATAACAATATAATTCTGATATCGATATAAACAATATAAAAACCTCAGAAAAACTGTACAAATAAATTAATATTCACCTTTTATTTGTATTTAGCCTTCAAAGAATTTTGAACTCACCGTAAAAATAAACATAAAACTCTCAACTTGCAATATTACTAGTTTTAACTTTAAACAACAACATAACCATAACGTTTGCTGCATGTGTTTCTCTTGATACAGCTGGGGCTGATGTTTCAGGGACACGTTGGCTCAAACTTTTATTGTGCTTCATCTTCTGACTCAGCAAATTATGTCGAGTGGAACAAGTTAGATGTTCCCACCGCTAGCTGCAGTGCAGCACACTCGCAGTTTATCGGATCTTAGAAAGCCGAACCACTTCCACACCCTGAATTAGTCTTCCCTCTCTTATCGATGATGTCATCTGCTTTCTCTTCGCTTCTGTCGGTCATGGGCACTCATTTTGAAGCGAAAACTCAACGCACCGTGGAGCCCAGCCTGCTACCGCTGACTCCTTCTGGACTTGAGCTCTGTGCGTGGTGTACGTCACCACACGCTTATGTATCGGTTGTGTCATGGCTTTTTCTGTTCGGGTTGAAATTGAAGCGGCCACTTGCACCCGGACAGAAAAAGAAACGTGTCAGTGAAACGCTGTAGCATAATGTATATCAAAATATAGAAAATGTGCTTAAAACTCATATCACTGTTATTGAATAAAAGTATATCATGATATATATCGATATCGAATTATTGTCCAGCCCTAATATATATATTTTTAAATAACTATTTTGCAGGGTATTTGTTTTAAAATAACGTTTTTAATTTTTATTTTAAAAAATGGCTAACTCAATACAATTTCTTAAAGATAAACTTGGTTTACAATGAAAAATACGTTATTTTTTCCTAAATCATTTTGTGAACAAGGAAAACCGAAAAGTGACTTATTTAAAGCAGGTTTTGTAACTTTCTTATTTTTGAAATTACTAACATCGTATTTGTTTTAATCTTTTGTTTTTTTGAATGAAATGCAAGCTATGTAAACTCTAATAATTATATCTCAATTTGACCCCCAAATTAAAGAAATGCGTAAATTGCTCCATCTAGTGGCTAAATTGCAGATTTCAATTAAAATGAAATCTGCTCCCAGTACTGTGAAACATGCAGTGTGCTTTACTGAGTAGAAGATAAGTTTGTATTCATGTTAAAGTAACATAAACAATTTTATTCCAATTAGGCCTGTCACAATAAACAATAAATCAATTAATCACATGATCAATGAAAATTATCAACCTCGTTTTCATTTATCGGCTTTATCGTTTCTTCGTGTCTCTCTCTTTCTGAAGACACTGGCTCAACTCCGGTGTTCTTCACTGACCCCTCCCTTTCTCTTTAAAATCTGTTTTAACGATCCAAAATGTGTTTTTGGATCGTTAAAAGCAGCTAAGCTGAGAAGCTAAGCTACGAGCTAAGCTAACAGGCCGACCTCAGGAAAAAAACTCCGTCTTGTCGAAGCTCCAAAATTCACGGTTGAAACCCGTGCCTTCGTGTAAAAAGTTGTTTTTCTCTACAAAAAGAAGCTGAGAACTTGTTTACTGATTTTTTTAATTAAAAGCTTTGTGTGAAAAATGCTGAAGTGCTCAAACCACACCGAGTGTCCACCATTTTGAGAACCGAAAAACAGGAAGGCGAGACGGTCCATGTCACATCAAGGGGCCTCCCTCCCATTTTTCTTAAAGAGACACGCTCCTCGCTCCCTCACTATCCATCTTTCGGTTCAAACAGTCTTATACTGCCATCCAATGGGGAAAAAAGATACTACACATAAAAATTTACCAACATTTCTTCTTAAATTTGACAATTTCTAATTATTGGCAAATTTCAAACAATATTATCGTTTATCGCAATAATTTCTGAGACAATTAATCGCCCAGCAAAATTGGTTATCGTGACAGGCCGAATTCAATTTAACACTTCAGTACTCAAAGAAAGCTTCAAATATTGTATTGCGTTTCTGCTAATCTGTCACTTTAAATGCCTCACGGGTACGTCAAGGATTTTTTTTTCTGAAAATAGTTTTGTTTATGTGCAGGGATTATCACCATCGACAACAAGAAGCATTAAACGTGCTTGTTAGATGAAAATCCAACGATCTTTGTCTGACCTCAAACTGAAGGTGTTCAAACTGTTTTTCAAAGAGTCAGGCTCCAGTCTCGACCCACTAATATAAAGGCCTTGATTTAACGGACATCTTTACCGTTGCATGGACAAGCTAAGTGAGCTAAAGGGCTCTAGGTCGTGTTTTAAAACGTTATAAAGGCTGGACTGTTCCAGGATGGTTGGTAGTTTCTGAGGCCTCTCCGCTGGGCGTTACTCTGACGCTGCTGAAAGAGACGAACTTAAGTTGAACTAAATCACTGTGATTATGTCTGCCTCCTGAGCAGCTCTGCCTCGGAGAAACGCACCACGACTAAACACTACAACAGCTGCTCTTACTCATTCAGGCCCGTTTGGGACTTATTAGTGAACTCAGCTGCTGCGGTGTTTACCTTCACACTCTACAGACTCCTTATTTTTGCTGAGATTTTTTTTTTTTAAGTTGTCTGAAGATTAAAAAATAAAATAAAACGAGAAGCAGCCTGCAGGATTATTTCCAGGTTTACACGTGAAGGAAAGCCGCGCTCTTCATTGGTATTCCTGCTCACGTAGTTCTGTGCTGTACCGGTCCAGCCAGGAGACCCAGCCGCTCCCCCCAGCTTTGACACCACCCTCTCTGGCTCCTCTCTCCAGGTATGAGTGCTCTGCAGTTGCAGAACTTGGCCACTTTAGCGGCGGCGGCGGCGGCAGCCCAAAACTCGGCCAGCCCCTCCACCGCAAACCCCCTGTCGTCCAACGCCGCCTCCCTGGGAGCGCTGGCCAGCCCAGGTAAAGCCGGGGGGTCCGACGCCTGCCTCCGCTCTCCATCGTTACCATTTCCATCGTTGTCACCCCACGATCCCAGCGGATCACCGTCAAGTCGTCACCGAAACGTCATTGTTCCGATCTCCGTGTTGCCATGGTGTGTGTCTCCAGCGTCTTATCACACCTCGATGGTTGCAGCGAGCCGCCGCCTCCCTGTGTGTTTCGTTTCCTCATCACGTGACCCACGCCATCACATACTACACGCTTTGTATATGCGTGTGCATGAGTGTGTGCTTGATGTTTCCGTCAGGTCCAGGTGTGTTCTCTGTTTTCAGCGTTTCTCTGTGCCTAAGGCCAACGTAAAGCAGCGCGGTCGTCTGCGTCTTGGCCGACGGGCTCCACCTGCACCTTTGTGTGTGTCGGCCATGTCCTGCTCACAGCTTTAAGTTGAAAAACCACCAGGTTGATGTTGGACCTGGCTCCGGTTAAACACCACCACCTTTAGGTTCCCCTCCGCTCGTCGCTCCATCCCGTCTCCCTCCTCCTCGTTGCCCTCATCTCCCGCTGCTGCCCTCTTCTTGACAAGCTTCCTGTTTCTGCTCCATCATTCTCTTCCCCCTCCCATCCCTCATGTCGGCTCGGCCTCGCTCCAGCAGCACACTCTCGGCAGAGCATGAATATGAAAAAAAAACACCACCCCCTCCCCCCCGTCAGCACACTCCTCCTCCTCAACGCCAGCGCCGCTCCATCCCACTTCGAATGGCCGTTCTTGTCTTGTCTCACCTCCTACTTCGCTCCCTTTCATCCCAGCCTCTTTTCTTCCTCTAAATGTCAGTCCAACCTTGAATCGTACTCACTCGGGTCGAGCTCCTCGGTGTGAATGAGTGGTGCTATACTGCATGTGTCAATGAAACCGAAAGCGTCACTCCAGTTTGATAAATATAGACGGTTCTGCATGGAAACAGGCCAGCGTCTTTGTTTTTGCACCGTGTGCTGACATAATGCTTCCTTTGTCACGCCATCTCTTAAAATATTCAGCGGCAATCCTGCTTTGTGGGCAACGCTTTGATGAGATGAAGGGTAAATGAATAGAATAAGTTTTGTTGTTGTTGTTTGTGTGTTAAAAAATAAAAACAAGGGCACACGCTCTATGCACCATGTCACCCACCGTCACGGACATAGTTCAGTGTTTTCACGTCATTGTGATTTTTCGTTTTTCCTTGTATCCATTTTGTTCGTCCTCATCGTGATTCTTATACATTTAAACTGTGCTCAAAGAAATGTGATATAACTTCATCGTAGACGAGTAATTCCAAAGGATTTTAAAATTAAATGTTTCCTCCTAGAGTTTTTTGTCGATATTGTAGCTTGTTGCTATATTCCTGTTTTGATGTGTAAAAAATAAATAACTGAAGTTTTTTTTTTTTTTTTTTTTTTATAATTATAATAAACTGCAAACTTCTGCTTTTACCGCCACTCAGGTTTACAAGGTTGTAGCATTTTATTTTAAATGGCCAAACAATGATTGGTGCTACTTGTAATGGTTTCAAGCATCAGTATTAGTTCCAATCATATGATGCTCTGTTGTAGTATCGTGCCACTGACAAGAGTTTGTTCTACTTTTACTTTACACCTTCTTATCTGAGAAGTCCCATTTTTGCATCCAGACTGGCTCGACGTATACACAAAGAGGTCTACAAGAAGAGGCCATATTAGCTTGTTTTAACAAAATCATTAGTGACCATTTTAATGTTCAAATTGTCAAGAAAATGTAGAAAACTACATGTACTGTATGCAATATTGTATTTTTTAACCGTAAGCTAGCTTATAGATTTAGAACAGTCATACATTTAGCTCTCAAGGCTTGTACACCTCAGAACACGTGTAGAGTAACATTTATAAGAAATGCCATGCAAACTACAGTACTGGAAGGTTTGTCTACACTACTTGTACTTAAAAAGAAAGATTTCTAACAGAATGCTGAAATACCCATGCATGGCCAAAAAAGTTGACATTGACCTCAAAATACAGAGAAAGTATGTGCTTAGCACGGCCCGTATGTCATCACTTCATCACATCATTGAGCTTCAAATCCAGCTTTACCTTTTCACATGTAGATGTTTCATCTCTGTTACTACTTCGCTTCACGGCACAAAGGTGCAGCAGGTGAGGGTTGGCTTCACCCCCCCTTGCCACTTCCGTATTTTCATAAAACATATTAAGGTATCCAGAAGGAATCTAAGGCCGTGTTTACATGACACATTTTTTTTTGAGTGAAATCGTAGCTTTGCTGCTGCGGTTTGACCATTCGCGTACATGACAATAGTCCCTGTTCTCTCTGAAATTTAAGGATTCTGAATCCAGTTGTTTATTTGCCCAAAAAAACATTGAGGGAAAAAAAAAAGTATGTTTCCAGAGATCATTCCTGTAAATAAATGTATTTGCCTTTTTTATTTTTATTTTTTACTTTGTTAGGTTGACTTAAGCATCAAATCAGGCAAGGAAGAAAAAAAGTAGCATTGATCAGTTCTACCTCTGCACACAGCTGGCAGCTCAGTCTTGATTAACAGAAATTGTTCTTCAATAAAATTTGAAGTTGGGTGTTTATTTATGCCTTCGGTGCAGAGAGGGTATAAATACATTACTACTGGCAAAAAGAGAGGACTTTTATCTCCCCTTTTTACTTTTAAAATACAATATACTTCTCTCTATTTGTTATCTATATTGTGCAATCAGTGCATTCAAAAAGCCTTTGAAGGACACGAACACCTTTAAAATGAGCTGTATTTAAGTAGGCAGCCGGCGTTCCACACTTCTTTGCGGTAATAATGTTAACATGTCATAAAATGTATGTGAAGTTAGTGATGCTGAATCACTACATGTAGCACCTGAAGTCTCAAACTTTACAAAAAGTCAAAAGCAGAAGTTGTGACTTGAACGTTTTGTATAACCTCTATATTCCTTTGTCTGCTTCTGCACCTCCTTTCTTACCTCTTTGTTTTGTCTCTCCATCCCTCATTCAAACCTTCCCCCTCCTCCTCCTCCTCCTCTTTCTCCAGCAGCAGGCACCACAGCCAGCTCCAATGCCGGCGCTATGAACTCTCTGACCTCTCTGGGCACCCTGCAGGGCCTGGCGGGCGCAACTGTTGGTCTGAACAACATTAATGCACTAGCAGGTAGCATCAACAGTGAGTATTCACCCTGCCATCAACATCTCCACCTTCAGCCATGACACCAACATCACCATCTGAGTCAGAGCAGAGAGACGGAGTTCCACAAGGCAGACGCTTTGGTCCCACTTTTTCTTCTTTTTTCACCAGATTTTTTCTAATTTTGAAGTGACAAATTTGGTTAGCACTTGTTCATTTTTGCACAGAAACTCAATTTGAATGCACTGAAACCAATTTGTCATGTAGATTTGATAGAAAAATGAATAACAAAACAAGTTTATTATTATTTATTTGTCCAAGTTTCTTATTAATAACTTTAAAATGTTCACATATTTCACTAAACAACCAACTAAAGTTGACACTATTTGGTTCTCTCTGTTGTCTCTCTGCATCTCAAGTTTACTCAAAGACAATTTTATTTTTTAATTGTAGCAGCTTCTTTAGTCATTCATCTGGTCATATATTTTATTCATTCATTCATCCCTCCATCCATCTCTCCATCTGCTTCCTGGTTGTGCCCTGGGTTATGCTTGCTGTAAGCGTGCTGATGTGTCGTTCCAGCGGAGTCAACTGCTGCTCGTCGTCTCACACAACTTCCACAGTGTGGGAATGTGTTGTTTGTGTTAAATGGCGTCTATGTTGTGTCATTGTCTTTTGTCGGTTGCCAAAACTTAAAAAGGGCCAATTTTATGGTTTTTTTTAAATAAATAAAAAAAATTCTAGTAAATGACTTTATATTATTTGGTACTTCTGTCAATCTTGTATTTCTCAACATTAAAAGCTGGTGTTGTACAATTACAAGTTTGTTAGAGCCAAAAACAAAACAACTAGAAACTAAAAATCTGAACTCTTGGTACATAAAACACAACGTATACAGTACATCATTCTTTTTTACATACAAACTCTTCAGTTTCGGTAAATAAATCTTGCAACAAAGAGCGTTACTCTATATGACTTTTATTTGTACTGAAACGAAACTTAAGCCCAAACACAGGCGGCGTGTTCATGAGCCTACTTGATGTACTGGTAGTCACTGCTTGAAATGAAAATCTCATACAAGTATTAAGTTCAGCCCACTCTTCTTCACACTGTTGATTCAGGCCGTATGTTTAAGAGCTTAAGCTCTTTTCAGAACGAGACTTTCAAACTGTATATTAAGAGTTTATCAAAGTTACTCTGAACATGTGGTTGAATCAGAAGCAGATACATATTTTCATCCATTTGTGCACATTGTCCACCACACAGTCTGTGTGGTCTGCCAACATCTATTGAGCCGTGTGGTGTATGTCCTGCCTCTGACCTCCGAGGAGACAAGGCTGGGATCTTAATCAGAGCTGTTATGACAGTGGAGATCCTGTACTACCGGCCTCTTCTACCACATTATTCTCCTCTGACCTTTACCGCTCCTCGGCTGGAGTCGCTGTATCCGCCCTGTAAATCATACACGCCTCCACCCAAGCGCATGCAAGCGCAAAAACACAGACTATGTGCACGTACGCGCGCACATGTTTGTCCTTTTAAAGCGAACTTGTCGCTTCCGTTATGCATCCCATTCCGTACCCCGCTAACCCCACGCTCCTCTTTGTGCCCCTTCCTCATCCTTCCACACACCGCCGCCAACCGCCCTCATTTAAGCACATCCAGGCCTTAATTGAATCGCAAAGGTCACCGGTGCAATTATTCCTGAATAAATGAGTGACCTATAATCCAGAGCGCTGTGGTGATAATTTATTTCACTGTGGCTGACGGTGAGGCGACAGGACGCCGAGCCCGTGTCAGACCTCCTCAGACATGTTGCCCTCCGCCGTGATATTAAGCTGTTACAAGCAGCTAATGAGTGTTACTGCTGCGTTCTTTCACGTTTTAAACTCCCACCTCGCTTCCTCCACACGCCGCCTTCACTCTTAAAGAAAGACGTCATAGATGGGAAAAGCACAAATAATCACAGCTTGCTGTCCTGAATTTACATAGTCAAAAAAAAAACAAAGTTTTTCATATATATTAGCTTGCTTGTGCCTGAAAGTAAATGTGGCTGCCAGTGCGAAAGAAATATGAGATAAGATGCTTTAGTGCCTAATAAGTCAGGCTATCACTGTAATTACTGCTCAAATTCTTGGACTAAAATACAAATACTTTCAAATCTAATGCAAAATAAGGAAACGGTTCCTCTGGTGACAAATTAAATTAGGGATGGAAAGAAAAGTTGCTCAATAATCCAAGCACCAAATCCTTTATTTATACTTTTAACAAGAACAGCAAGACTTTAAAAATATTGACAAGGATTCTAGCACTCATACTGATTGTATATAATATAAATATAATATTGTATTCAGACGGGGTAATTTTTAATATAAGCAGTTTAGTGTTTTGTAAAGTGATAGCTTTTATAAGTAATCTTTCCATAGTCCATTAATTATTGTTGTCCTTCTGTGTCCTGTTTGGCATTTTTACCAGATAGTTTATAAATGTGGATTATCACGTTTCCTCATGTATGGAATGCCATTTAAAACAATATTAAATGTTTTTGTAAAAAAAATGTCCAACAATCAAATACAGTATACACAGAAAACACATTTAACAGAATCAAATAAAAAAATAAAAAAAACATGTTTGTAAGGACGTCTAAATGCCAAAGTAGTTTTTGTTTTTTAGGTAAATTTCATTTTAAAAATAACTAAAAAGAACATTGTATTAGGAAGTAAAAGTAATCTAAAGAGGGCATATAAATACGTCAATTGCTATATTTATTATGTTCCGGTACCAGCTCATATTTATATTTGCTTATTTTATTTATTTATTTAGTAAATTAATTTTTGGGTCATTAATCATTGTATTGCGATATCTATTTTAGTAGTATTATTTATTTAATATTGACGTGAATGGCATTCCATACATGGATTTGTTTAGAGATAAATGCAGTAAACTGTAAAAAAAAAAAATATATATATACATGTTTAGGTGTTATAAATGTTAGGTCCTCATCATGGTTGTTTAAATGTTATTTCTGTTTTGTAAACGAAGACGTTGTCTCTAAATTTGGCCCAATTAACACTACTCCGGATGTTTTTCTTCTGATGAGTTTTTACTCTCCGTCCACACGCAAACACCTTTTAGTGCGCTAATCTGAGATTTTATAAAAAACATTTCCAAAACGTTACTTTTGTTGTCTTCATGTAGGCTGGATAATTGCAAAAGCCTATTTTCCTTATGCTAAGTGTCACTTTGTTCCCTACAAATTAAAAAAGCAATTGAGCCGATTTTACCGATTTTACATCTTTATCGTTTTAAAATAATCGTATTGCTAATAAACTCTGTGCTGAAATTAATAAAACCTGAGAAAGATGCTGTCATATATATAAAAAAAGAAGCTAAAATTAGTTTGGGAAAGTTTTAGCCATCTTAAGAGCATTCTTTCTCTGTATTTTGATGTCATTAATGTGAAAGTTATCGCCACCTAGTGGTGTGGCATAGGTATTTTTGTAAATTTGTTCAAATGTGTGGACATTTTTTTTTTGCTGAGAAAGAAATATCTGGTGTAATGTAAACGGGGCTTTTGTGTTTGCTGTGTGCTTCTTTTCTCAGATCTCTGTGCAGCTCTGGCTGTCATCAGCTAAACTCATACAACACTTTGATTGTAAACTTTACTTTGTGTGTCCTGTACTCTGACGTGTTGCCTGTTGTCTCACGTGGGTTTCGACACAACGTCGATGTGTTCTTAGTGTTCGTCACGACACGTCTCTGACAGTCCGTGTGACCGTTACTGTGTGTTTGTGTATGTATGTGTGGATAAAACACAACCTTCAGTGGGAGCGCTAATGAGTAAGTGCATTCTTCTTTCTTTATTGTTGGGTTTTATGTAAAGTTGCTCAAATGCTCTCAGGTATGGCGGCTCTAAACGGAGGCCTGGGTGGTGCAGGGCTCACTAACGGAACGGCGGGCACCATGGACGCGCTGACGCAGGCTTACTCAGGAATCCAGCAGTACGCTGCCGCTGCACTGCCCACCCTCTACAGCCAGTCCCTGCTCCAACAGCAAGGGGCCGCCGGCAGTCAAAAAGAGGGTCAGTAGCCTGGGACTGAATGTCCGCACACCGGTCTGGTTCAGTGGGAGTTACACGCAGGCCTTTCCTCCCAAACATGTTTTCAATGATTCCTATAGTTCTGCAGAATGACAGCAGGAGACATTCGAACTGAAACCAAGCATCAACACTGGTAAAGACTTGTAATAACAAGTTAAAATGGCATGCCGTAATTCCCGGACTATTGAGAGCACCCGCATATAAGCCACGCCCACCAAATTTAAAATAATAATAATTTTGTACATATATACAAGCCATGCTTGTCTATAAGCTATGGGTGTCCATGTTGTGACATGAGATATTTACACACTTTTTAAAAAAGTTTTAATTAAATACGTACCGGTAACATACACAAATACGTACAGTATTTATAGGAAGTCATTGATCGCTATCTCATTGACCTCTCCTCCCCATTTCATTGGTCCACCGTGACCTGTTCGGTAATTTCACTGGTCAGATTTTTTTTTTAAACCTTTATTTATTCAGGTACTGTAGTCTCATTGAGCTCACCCCTCAAGAAGAGAGACGAGTATTGGGCAGCTCTGTGAGCGTCCGAGTGCGACAAGGCTAAATGTTTTGGCGGCAGGAAGCTCATTAGTCCGTCAAAAAAAAAAATCCATAAATTAACCGCTTCATTGTATAAGCCGCGGGGTTCAATGCGTGTGAAAAGAATAGCGACTTGTAGTCTGAAAATGATGATATTTTTATTATCAGCATAGTGACTTAGGGGGAAAAACAGAACCATATGCTGGTAATTAAAATGTTTTCTATTTATTTCTTTTTAAAGTAGTCACAAGTCTTAACCGCTTCATAAAACAAGTTGTTTTAGTGAAAGGAAATTGTTTGGCTTTTAATTTGTCCACTTTCTTTTTGTCCACTCAATGTCAAAATTTAATATAATGGCTAAAAAAAATTAAATTACAAAAAAAAACAACTTTGATTTGCAAAAAAAAAAAAAAAAAAAAAATCTACAGAAGTCAAGAGAGGACTTGTTTAGAACTGTTTAACCATGAGTTTTTGTGAAGATATTTTATTATCTATGATCTTGAAGGTTATAATGTGTAGTCGTAATATTTGTAATGCTATTAACTCGAGATAACTTGCTGTTATCTTAAAAACGAGGTTTGTTTCGTGATAGAATTAGTTTAGCTGTCTGGGTTTCTCCCAGTCAGTCCCAAAAATACATTATGTGGTCAAAGAAAACATTAAATTTAAACATATAAATGACCAAACTAGTCAAAAATGCAACGTTCAGAGGAAAATATCTGATTAGCAAAAAGGTATTGAAATGCATTTTACCGTTTACTTAATAAAGATGAACCAAATGTATTTTTAACCAATTTATTGACATTTAAATTTGTAAAATACAACGCAATAGTTGACACAAAAATATAAAAACGTACGTTAAAAAGAAACGGTAAACAAAACAAGATTGTTTTATGAAAGCAAGGTAAAATAAAAATAGGGAAGTGCACATTTTTTGCTATTTTATAAAAAAAAACAGCTAAAGTTAAAAAGTCAGTGTTATTAAAAGTCTTTACGTATTTATATTTAATTGATCCAAGCATCTGAACATTTCATCAAAATGTGCAGAAGAGAAAACTAAAAGTCTGTTTGAATATGGGTGCCGCTGCAACGTGCTACCTGCACACACAAGCTGACAGTTGCCGTTAAATTTACCCAAAACCTTTAGACGGCGGCGCTGAATACAAATCAGATGATGAAATGTCTCGTAAAACAAACACAGCTGCACGCTTTCTGTTGTGCTCCTCTCGTCTCTGCTTCAAGCACCGCAGACATTTGTAAAGAAGCTCTGTGTTTCTCTTTTTGACAGTCCAGCCATGAGTTCAAACCCCTCCAGAGAAACAAAGTCGTGCCAGATATCGTCCTCCCTCGCAGCTTTATTTAACTGTGGAGAGCCTACGAGACGATTCTAAGAGATGTGACCCGCCGTGATTATCCCAATGTGTGAGAGGGAGAGGGTGGAGAGGCAACCTGTGACCCCTCTTAAGAGGGACAACGTGCAGCTGAAAGAAGGAATTAAAAGCAACAGCACGGGAAAGGTCTTTTGTTTGTATCGAGGCAAAATATGATTAATAAATGAAAACCAAATGCTTTCATCTCTTCTGAATTTGTATGTTGTTTAAAAGCAGCGGCAACCCAAGGTCATCAGACATTGTGCTAAGCGGTGTGCTCGAGCGCCGTTCCTATGACGACAGCACGGCGCTCTCTCCAACGTATCGCTCTGTCTCCTGCCGTTCTGCTTAAACTAAGAGCTCGCTCCGACCGTACGTATATCACATGTTGCATGTCATCCCCACCAGGTCCCGAAGGTGCCAACCTCTTCATCTACCACCTGCCCCAAGAGTTTGGAGACCAGGACTTGCTGCAGATGTTCATGCCTTTCGGAAACGTGGTCTCTGCCAAAGTCTTCATCGACAAACAGACAAACCTTAGCAAGTGCTTCGGTACGATGAGCTCCCAGATCGGGAAACAAATACTAAAATGAGCTTTCTCATGGTTTGCTGCGTCTGAGCTGAGTTTTTTTCTCAACCACTCTGCAGTGTTTTTAAGTTCTAAGTTTTGGATTGTCATTATGTTGAAAGACCCCTGACCTGCAACTGAGGCTGAGCGTTCTGACGCTGCCTGTTTCACTCCATGGTAGTCTTGTGTTCCCCCGCGTTAAAAGCAAAATTCTATCCATTTTATTTATATAGCGCCAAGTCACAGCATAAGTCATCTCAAGGCACTGAACAGAAACATTCACATACATAAAAAGTCAGTTAATAACGTCTTTTACACAAGGAGCCAGCAGATTGCTTTGAGTCTTCACTTCATCGCAGTCTTCCCTCCAGCGGCTGGCAAACACTGCTGTCTCACATTAAGCTGATCTCCATTCAGAGCTTCTCGTTTTCTTCATGAAGTCTAGTCAGTAAAAAAAGAAAAAAAACCATTCATATTTACAGTAGGCGTGGTCCTTTTTTTTTATTACTTTTTTTAAGCTTAATTTTTCCTTCCATAGGAGTCAGAAAGGTACAGGTTTGGTTTTTGTGTCAGTAGTGGAGCTCTTCTTGGTCTTCTTCCCAACAAATCGTACGATCAGAAACGTAACATGGAGTTCATCTAGATTGCTTTTGAACGGTTTTCTTGGCTCTTTTTTCACCATTCACACTATTTTTGATCAAGCATGGGCTGCATGTCCTCTTGCGTCCACGTACTGGGACATTGTCTACAAGCCCATAAACTTAATACTTATATATACAGTACATATATCAAAGATGTTTGTAGATGGTCTTGTAGCCTTCACATTTAACTACATTTATAATCTATCGGAGCTCTTCAGACAGGTCTGGTCTTTCTTTTCTTTAGTCCTTCAGTATGGTGTACAAAATAATACCAAACAACATAAACATATATCTGTTCCCTTTAAATAGGCTGACTGGATGATGAGAACCTTAAGTTAACCTTTAGTTTGAAACATAACTCTAACGTAAGGATTAATGGTCTCTTTAAGGGTACCGACTACTATACTATGTCCATACCATTTTAGAAAAATAAATCATTTCTTTTCATACTAGAGGCATGCAGATATGCAATAGCTTTTAACTAAACTACTTTTCATTTGTGTGTAGTAAGACACATTCATTATAGTTTTGAGCATGAACAAAATAACATACAGTTCATTTTGGTGGTATAAATTGGCATGTAGCAGTGCCATCGCAATACAAGGTTTGCCAAATTTACCACGATACGTTTATAATGGGTTGCGTAGGTCATTGTGAGCTTAACTGGGTTGTCCTCCATCATGAAGGAGGCCTAAAGTTGAGGTATGTTGTTTGTAAGATGAGATGTTTAACTCACCAGAAACTTATTTTTCAGTAAGTTTGAAATAAAAGAAAGCTCTTTTTTCATGGGCGTCCATTCAGTACGTTTATCTGCAGTGATCATAGGATAAAATGTAATTTATTGATTATTGTTTGCTTTCACTTTTTTTGGATTTGAAGGCTATTGAACACAATCCATCACTATGTCAGACATTTATGTCTAAATAAGTGTTTTTATACTGTGCAATAGAAATGTTCTTCTGTTTTCATTCAGCTTAGTATGCGGTCGGTTAATCACGTTTCCCAACATTTATCAAATTTCCTCCCGTTTCTTCGCAGGCTTCGTCAGCTATGACAATCCCGTGTCAGCACAGGCTGCCATCCAGGCCATGAACGGCTTCCAGATCGGCATGAAGCGTCTGAAAGTGCAGCTGAAGCGATCCAAGAATGACAGCAAACCGTACTGATCTTAGTACTAGGGTCTATCTGCTCCCCCTGTTAGCACTGCTAGGGTAAGTCCCCCTCCCCCCATTAAAAAAGAGAATAAATTTTTAAAAAAGAACAAGAAAAAAATGAAAAATGTCAAAACGACCTCTTTAACTAGAGTGTGGATGTGAGAGTCGAGGTGGGGTTGAAAAAACATATTTAGAGGGAGGGGGAAACGACCTACAACCACCCAGAGGGAGGAACTTTTTTTTTCTGGCATTTTTCAATATTTTTTTAAAGTTAACTTTTAAGTAATATTATTTATTTATTGCAGTTTTTCTTATTTTAGACACATGAACACTTCCATTTCCACCATTACTTCGTGCATTCTTTCTCTTTTTTATGATGGAAGGAAGTCGCTATTTCGGGCTAGCTAGCTTGTTTTTTTTTTTTTTTCTGTTCAAAACTAACTTTTTTTTTTCTAGTTTACCGTGTTTATTTATACATTTACAAGACTAGTGAGTCAAAACTGAGATACATACTAAGGAGCCATGATATATATATATATATATATATATATATATATATATATAT